AGATTATATAATACAAAAGCAGTAGGAGAGTAGTTTCGTTCAATCAAAATTTTAGGTTATATTTGTTAAATTAAATGTGTATATTGAAGGTGATTAAGTTTCACATCATCTCTAAAAGTAAATAGTTTCGGACGATGCATCAGAGAGGAAATAGTCCACTCACAAAAAACTATTTCGACTTATTTTCTGTAAAACTGCCATATAGTTCATGTTTATGTAATATAATAAATAACATGAACTTTTGAAACAAAGTCTTATATATTTGTGTCTCTTTAACGACTTTGTTTGCTTACTCAAATCAAGTATATAGTTTTTTGCAGCATACGACGAGGCAAAGTTAGATTGGGAGATTGGTATGCACTATATGGCTATAACATGAAAAGAATTATCAATCGAAGAAAGAAGAACTGGTAAGTTGCATCAATCTCAACAGCTATTCACCTCTTTGATATGTTTTTTTGGCTAAAGACTTTTTATGTCTTTGCCTAAAACTATATGTGTTTTCTTAGTGCATGTTTCTTTATCAATTTGTTTGTTGCACGCAAAGGATTCCCAATCTCTTAATTTATGAGACTCTATATGCAGCGACTACAAACGTAGGGAAGAAAGGAAAAACACGAGCTGATCAACAGGCCAATCAATGGAGGGAGAGAGAAATGGTGAAGGAGATCACAAACAAATGCTAATATCGCTGTCAAATTTTTAAAACAGTGAAGGAATAATATTTGTCGCTTATTTTCGTATTTATTGAAGTATATTTGTTTTGAGGTAAAAGATGAAGGTAATTGAGAAGGTCAAGGAAAAATGAGAATAAAAGAGACTAGAATTGTCAGACTTCTGAAACCATCTCATGATGGTAACCTTATAATGACGAGGTCAAATATGTTTCATAGATATCCAATATGTAGCAACTATTTTATTTTGTAAAGTTTCTCTTGAATTGTTTATGAGACATGAAAATCTTGGCTTATTAATCGCATATGTGATCATGGAACCCTAACTGTTTTATAACTTTCAAAGAATCTAAAGTTGAAGAGGAAGTTGGAGATTTTTTTTTTTTGGTTATTGACCAACAAATTTTAACGAGAGAAACTCATTTACCATCTTTTATATGAAATAAAAATCAATACCAAAAGAATATATCGAGTCTAAATATACACATACGTAACAAAAAATCCTCTGCGTATGCACGGGTGATCATCTATTGTAAGAAAACAATATTTACAGCCATGTTTTAAAATCAAAATCTATGGCTCACTCTCTTCTCAACTTCTCCCAACTCACGGATGACATCAACCCACCACTATTTATACGATTCGGCTAGTTCGCTTTTGTCTATCGCCGTAGATGGTACCGTCGGTATTGAAGTCGGAAACACTAGATAAATTCTAGTTCAAGCGGTGGAGAAGTTTGAACTCAAACACATGTTAGACTTTTGTTAATGGTGTCTATTCCCTCTCTTGCAATGTAATTATATTTTTCTGTGTACTTTTGCATAAGAATGAAAAAACAATCGTTTTATCGTTTCCTTCTACTCCTGCCAGAATTATGTTCCACATAAAACGAGTCGGTAGATTTTGGATTCTGCCTATTTCACCAATATCTACCAAGTGTAGAATTTATGTTCTACCACATGCTCTATGTTCTACATTGTCGTAGAATATTAGTTCTACCTTTCTCAATATATTCTACCGTGTCTTGAATATAAATTCTACCGCAACGTCTACCACGGTGTTTATCATCTACCCACTCGTAAAATATAGTTTCTGAAAAATAATTTAAAAATTCTTTAAATCTAGGAGTGAATATTTTTGTTTCCTAAAATGAGTTTTTAAAAGATATTTTTTGTGAGGCACATT